TGTTAAGACCCTCTTTCTAAATCTTGACTTAAGATCGTTCCCTTTGTGAATGAGGGTATGAAGTGATTGATCTTTGAAGAGGTTGTCGTTGAGAATAGAAAATCGATTGCTTGATTCTATAGAGGTAACCGCCTCGTTGACTAAACGGATAAATTTTAATAGATCTTGTCCAAATTGTGAGTATTCTGACCGCAATTCCGTATTAATCGGGAGTTATGAAACATGGACGAGAGTATGCGTAGATTGATTTTCTTGCTGAAGAATAGAGACTGGAAGCTCCAGTTTCTTTTCGCCACTTTCAATCAATGCACTGTTGAGAACTGAGATTGGAAGCACCAGACTCCGTTTACCAGCCTCGTCGAGAGCCGAACGCACTATACTCTTTTCTATTTTGGTATTTGCGGACTTCTGAGAGACGATTTTTGTCGGTGAGACTTTTGACAAATAGCAGAAAACGTCTATTATCAACCATACCCACCTGAAAATTATGTCGAGAGATATGTGAGAGTGCTGTTCGTTTCTATTTTTGATACTGGCGAACCACGGATGTGAAGTTGCCAGAGATTCGACCAGTCCGATGATGTTCGATTTCGTTAATAACAGTGATAATGTCCTTTTTAAAGAGCTCGATAGCACATTGTTTTGACTCGATCCCAGTAATAAATAAGTCGTTGAGGCCCAGGCATTGTCGGTATCAGGTTTTGGAGGGGACATTTATAACACTAATAAATACGCTATTATTCCATTCTATTTCAAGGGACGGCATAACAGGAGAGTCGCCTACGCGAATTTTTCACGCGAAGTCTCGCTCGTAGACAACCTACGCGCGAACATGCTTTTGGGAATGGACATCATGGGTCCAGAAAGATTCGACATTCTGCTTTCCAATCGTACAATCTATATCCAATCGTGCGATATCGTGATGAATGTCCACCCGGCGACACGCGGGAAACCCATTAATATACCGATTCGATCATCCAAGACCGTTCTCTTGGCCGCAGGCCAGTATACGAATATACCGATTGTACACAACGCGCGGAAAGCAAGCTCTGGGATGCCAAGGGACTTTATTTGTTATACCAATATCCAACGAAGGCCAGGAACTGATCGTATCAATAGCAGCTGATACTGTTTAAGACATTGCAATCGTTCTTTCTATATGAATATTGAATATATTCTTAGCGATTAAAAGTTCGATGTTTGTGGCTAAACTGAGGATGGTTTCTTCTCTTTTGGATGTAAGTGATTAACATCGCGCCAGATTTGGTGTACGGCGGCATTGTTTTCGTAAATCTACTATTAGTGAACCGAGGCCATGGAGAGCTAAGTACTATATTAGTTGTATTTATAAAGACTTGAGAATCAGTACTTATATGTCTGGAGACCAGCAATAAAGTCATTAGTGAAACATTCTTTAAGCTCCTCAAGGCGTGTAAGATGAATTGGACACCATAGGAGGAAAATAACAGTATCTTTCCCTGCGTTCTTGTTGAATTAGGAGAGAAGCGGCCAGATCTATCCACAAGATAGAGGCAGTTGTAGGTACATTGCATTAAGAAAGACATGGAGATCATCTTCCAAGCGTGAAACACTAAAGTATTTCGCGATAATCTGGAGTTCTTTGATGCCTTCAGTTGTACCGAATTTGTTATCAAGGAGAGTCGGGTTAGCCAATTTGCTTCCATCGATGCTGTTAGGGTCCGGACTGCGCCTAATGGAAGAAAGTTCTGCAGGTAATGAAATGATGGATTTGCCTGGAGGGATGAATGGTACAGGATCAGGAAGCACCTGTCCCACCACCTGGGCTTCTGTCGGCCTTTTTAACGCATGCGACGCAGCTGAACCAACTTGCTTCCGTTTGACCATTTCTCGATAGATATGTGGCTCTGGGCCGTCCCGTTTCTCTTTATCTCTCAGGTGACTGGTCTTTGCTCTTGGACTGATATCGAACTTGGCTCGGTGAGTCAGAATCGGTTCGCCAGTAGCCGGATCGTCTGCTTCAGGTATCTCGAACCACTGCCGTGTGAATGCTGCGACTAAAAAGTCACGCTCGACATCTGTATAGACACCTTGTTCAAATTTGGTATTCGCACGACCTACTCGATCGTTCATAGCGTCATATAAATTTGTGAAGGATGGAATAAGGGAAAGAAATCTTGATTAATCGTTATGTATCATGAACAAACAAGTGATATAAGCAATGATGCTGTAAGGCTAGAGGACAGTACGTTTGTTTTGCTCCTAAACTACTATTGGAAGGAACTATTAGCCCTAGAAAGACCAAACTCGGCGCGACTATTACGGTAGGAGTGACTATAGAAAACATCGGCCCTGGAAGGATCAAGTGCAACGAGGTTGGTTGTATTACTATAGTGGTGATTATAGAGACGAACGAAGGAGCTATCAGCCTTGGATCGATTTAATTGGGTCCTGTTATTTGCTGAGTTATTGTTATTGATATTGTTTCTAATACTCAATTATATTCATTATTGTTGTCAAACTATACAGGCTGTGCGTGTCGGCACGCCAGTGTGGCTGGCTATTTGGAATAGTAGATGATGTTCCTGTCGCTGATACAATCTGGGAGATAGGTGCTGGAGGTGCCTTATGGTGTGCTAAATTCATTAACGGAGCAACAAGGAGAAAAGGAAGAGCCGCACAGTAGAAGGAACAGTTTCCTGATGCATACATATTCTGGGAGGAAACAAAAAGGTAGGTATATTAAGAGTAAAAATTGAAGTGAGTGTTTTAGAAACGCGCTTGTAGTTCAGCCCTCGTTGCCGATATTAGTACATGTTCTAGTGAGAATGCCATGACACAAATAGAAAGTCATGGCTAAATCTAGTTTCTCTTCATCATTAACTCATTCCTTTCCAGCTCCACTCTGCAGGAAGATGTCCAGAATAGCCTTTGGTCCACCAGGATGTGACAGCAGTTCCCACAACTTCCAACTCTCCTCGATCGTCTCCTTGCCGCGCAAGAACATGTCCTCTTCGTATTCACGGACTACCTGATCCCGGCCTTGTGCTGTGCCATGCTGTTCCAGCTTGTTCGCCAAGACCAACGCATCGTTCATGGCCACGTTGACACCCTCGCCAGAAGGAATCGTGACGTGGGCAGCGTCCCCAACCAACGTCACGCCAGGCACAGACTTCCAACCCATGGCCTCAACTGGTAGACCATAGAGCGGCCACCCCCGGAAATTGTCCGAGTGGCGAATCAAGTCTTTGAACTCCTCCGCATATCCGCCGAAGAATTCCTCCGATAGAAGCAGAGCTCGCGTCGACTCTGCGTTGGACAAATCGGCTGTGGTCTGGGTGAAGTCCTCTGGAACAGCAATTCCATAGTAAATTCGGTAGGCATGGTCGCCTTGTCGTTGGATGACGAGGGATTTGGGCCCATTAAACACGGAGCTAGACCCAGGGCCAAATTTGGAGGCCATGTAATCGTGGATTGGGTTCCCGTGACGTATCCTTGTCTCGATATAGAGTTTGCCTGAATACTTGGGCTTGGCCTCGGTGATCTGTGAATCAAGCAACGGAGTAAGCACACATTCAAACAAACTAAATCAGCTGAAGAGTGTTTAATCTATACATACCAGGGGTCGTACTTTGCTCCAGGCTCCGTCAGCGCCAACCACGAGGTCGAATCCAGATTCCATGGAGCCATTGGTAAACTCAAGGACAGGTCTGCCATCGTCACCAAAGGCTGCTCGCTTGAGCCCGTGTCCCCATTGAATCTTTTCCTTTGGGATTGAGTCCAACAAGATCTGCCGTAGTGCCAGACGGTCAATCTCTGGCCGTTCTTCCTCCGTCGGGATGACGTCGCCCTCTGCCTTCTCACCGCCAACCTCACCCCAGCGTTTACCCTGAGGATCAAAGAGGTCAAACTTGTCGTCCTCATATCTGGCATGCTTCAAGAAGGCGTCGTGCAATTTTGCTTCTCGGAGTGCCAGCTGCCCTGTCTTTGGGTGGATATCAAGCGAGCCGCCGCCCCGATCTGAGATGCTAGACGATTCGTCGCGCTCATAGACGACATAATCCACGCCTTTCACCTCTAGCAGTCGCGCCAGGGTCAAGCCACAAGGACCACCTCCTACTATTGCGACAGACGGGACCATGTTGTTTCTCTGGAGAATCCGGGCCGTGTGGAACTGGGAACTGATGATGGGGCGTGTGAGCTGTGAAGCAGAGCGTCTTGCAACAACGCTGAATGCTGAATTGAGCATCTTGGCGAATTTGTCGAGATCCCACCACGAGGAAGAACTCCTATCGTCTTATATAGTATCGTTTTTCTCGTTGGGGAGGAGAGCTCAACGGAAATGAGACGGAGCTTCAGTGGACTTTCTGGGAGTCCGCCGTCCGACTTCACCACGGTGAATCCAATGCAAGACAATCCCAGTGCTAACTGCTGTGCATTCACTAGCGAGCGCTTGTGCTTCTAGATTGATCGTGATGGCTGAGGTTGTATGTCGATTCGGGTGGATCTAAGTTCCGACGAGATGGACTGGCACGCGGCTGAGCTAAAACATGATACATCTAGATACTTTAGTATTGAATTTCAACACAATATCAGAACAAATAAACCAGTACTGAACATATCATCAAGCTAAATATCATAGGATAGTTTGTTATTCTCTTATTATTGTGTTTACTCAAAAACGAGGTCCTGCCGTACGCGGAACGTGCCAACTGGTTATTGGCCTAGTCTCGGAAGTTAGAACCGCCCGAGATAATGAGCTTTGATCATGTCGGCACCTGGTCAACCCCATTAGATTTCCTACATATAACATCTGCCAGCAAGATTTGACTCTTGACAATGATCTAAATTGACGGGTCTAGATTGAAATTTGAATTGATCCGGCCATTACTCGTTTCATCTGGCCAACCCAGCTCACCTTTTCTTCTCTCGCTACTTGACTTATACAATCTGTCAGTGTCCGGAAACTTGCCCCGAACTGTGGAGTCTCCCGGCGCCGAGCCTGAGACGGAGGAGAAGCAATGCCAAGAAGCAAGTCGGGCTCTCTTTCGGAGGGCAAACACCAAGAGCAGAGGGTTCTCGCCTGTGTTCTGTGCCAAAAACGCAAGGTCAGATGCGACCGCAAGTCTCCCTGTACAAACTGCATTCGCCTGAGGGCCAACTGCGTGCCCGGCTCACTCGGGCCCCGTCGACGTCGCTTCCCGGAGCGGGAGCTGCTGCTGCGCCTGCGAAAGTACGAGCATCTCCTCCGCGAGAACCAGATAAAATTCGAGCCTCTGCACAAGGACCATGCCGGCTCGGATCATGAGCTTGAGCGTTTGGCGGACACCGAGGCGCAAGCATCATCCGGTAGTTCATCTCCGGCTCCTAATACCGGTACTCAACCCAGGTAAGGTTGGCTAAACTGAAGTCTCTTCCAATTCATCCTTGTCCTGTCTTGTTCTGATTAGATTCTCAATGTCAGGGGTATGTGGCAGGCGATGAGAAACTGGGTAAGAATCACCAATGCTCTCCTATAGGTGACAAAATCACCATCTGAACGATGTATTAATCATCCATCACCAGTACCAGTATTTGGAAAATGACGAGGACCCTTCTCAGTCCTGCATCGGAGAAGACACTTTACGTGAAGCTGTCGACAAAATGGCCTGGGAGGACTTCACCCGAGCTCACTCCAACATTCTCTTTGGTCCACGGGAAACTGCCAGGCTGGACTTGGCTGGCCTCCATCCAGATCCAACACACATTTTCCACCTCTGGCACATATATCTCGAAAATGTGAACCCGCTTCTCAGAGTCACTCATGCTCCTAGCCTTCAGGGTGTGATAATCGAGGCAGTTGGCAATCTCTCCAATATCAAACCGGATCTCGAGGCGCTCATGTTTGGTATATATTGTATGGCGGTCACAAGTCTGTCAGACGAAGAATGTATCAGCAAGTTCAGCTCATCCAAGAGCGACCTCTTGACGAGATGCCAGTTTGGCTGTCAGCAGGCCTTGATGAACTGCGAGTTTCTGCGTACTGGCAAGAGGACTTGCTTGACAGCTCTATTTTTCTACGTGGTATGTAAAGCATGTCCGTTATTTCTAACATGACTGTGCAGAGAGCTCATTCTGCTGTTTCTAGTGCTCCATTCGACCTACGACCGATCCCACCACCCTCTCGTCACTCCTCGCCATCACAGTCCGCATCGCCCGCCGGATAGGCATCCACAACGAATGGGCCAACGCCAAGTTCGACACCCTCGAGGCCGAGCTCCGACGCCGGCTGTGGTGGGCTATCGTGCTCTTCGACATGCGCATCGGCGAGATGTCCCAGTTCGACGCCGGATCGCTGTCCCCCATCTGGGACTGCGCGATCCCCCTCAACCTCCACGACTCGGACCTCCACGCCGAGCTCAAGCAACCGCTCAGCTCCCGGGACATGCCCACCGAGTCCCTCTTCGTCGTCGTCCGCGGCGCCATCGCGAACTTCATCCGCAACGCCGGCTTCTTCCTCGACTTCCACAACCCGCGCCTCAAGGCCATCGCCGCCGACGTCCACAACGGGCAGCCCCCGCCCGCGAGCGGCGAGGTCACGACGCTCGAGGGCCTCATCGAGAGCAGGTACCTCCGCCACTGCGACCCCCTGAACCCGCTGCACTTCATGACCATCTGGGTGGCGCGCTTCTTCGTCGCAAAGTACCGCATGCTCGAGCAGTACGCCGCCCTCATGGGCAACGGCGACCGGCCGCCGACCGACGCCCAGCGCGACGCCGCAAACGCCCACGCCCTGAGCATGCTCCAGTGCGACACCAACCTCCTCGTCTCCCCCCTCGTGAGGGGCTTCCTCTGGCTCCACCAGTACTACTTCCCCTTCCCGGCGTACATCCAGCTCTTCCAGGACCTCAGGAGGCGGCCGTCCAGCAGGCACGCCGAGGCGGCGTGGGCGGCCCTCGGCAGCAACTACGAGGCGAGGATGATCCACCAGGGCGACGTCTTCGGGCTCGAGCGCAGGGAGGCGGGGTGCGCGGCGGACCTCCCCGACTCGCCGCTGTTCCGCATCCAGGCCCGGCTCGTCCTCCAGGCGTGGGAGGCGCGGGTCGCGGAGAAAGGGGAGCCGGAGGAGGCGCTCGCGATGCCCCGGATCGTCACGCTGGTCAAGGATAGGCTGGCGCGGTCGTCCTCCGCCGCCGCCGCGCCGGTGCCCACGACGTTGCCTGCTGACCCGGCCACGAGCGAGAGTGTGCTCAGCTCTGGAGAATCGAACCCGCTTGATATGGCCGCGCCAATGTCGCTGCCGTCTGATCAGCTGTCCATGGCATCTTGGAACATGCCGGACGATCTCACGGGGTTGTGGTTACCGCCTGGGTTTGCCAGGCCTATGCCCCCTAACTTGGGCGGAGGACTGTATCCGTTTGGCTGGGCAGCCATGCACTGGGGGATGGGCAATCCTGGAGGGACGATGTGATGCGGTCTTGGCCGTGTGCTGTGGGTTGAAGCGGAACTTGGGGGTAAGAGTTGGTGGCCAACACGCCATTCTTCATAGTCACAAGCAAGCAAGCCGTAGTTCCAAATCTCTGATCGGCGATAATAAAACAGTGTCTTCGTTGCCTCCATCCGTCCTATGTATGCTCGTTTTAATCCATTCAAAAACACGCCACTACTTCGAACAGAGCATCATTAGACTCCATAACAATACAACCATGGTCGCGTGAATCCAAGAAAAGAAAGACAAACGTCCCACAACACCGTTCCTACTCCTTCCCAACCCAGCTGGAGATGTTGGTATAGTTTTAACATCACTTGAAAGCAGCCTTGACATCCGCCCTGGGCCACTCGAACAGCACGTCGCCCTCGTACACATCGGTGATAATCCGTCCGATTCTCGACTCAACATCCACGTAGAACTTTTCGCTCTCGCGAATCACATTCGCGACAAGATCGCGGCTCAGCGCCGGATCGTCTGCATCGCCAAAGTGCTTCTCCACTCGCTTCCGCAACGCTTCGATGCCCTTGCGCACCTCCTTGGAGTCGTAGTTGCCGAGGATCTTGTTAAAAATAGTTTTGGTGTTTGAAGGCTGGGCCGCGATCAGGGTTGCTGCCTTGCCGGATTGCAGCTGGGCCTCAATGTTCTCCAGGTGATCAAGGAGCTTGCCGAGCGGCCTGCGCATCACTGCATTGAGGTACAAGCCCATGTGTTCGTGGTACTCCCTGCTTGCATTGTTCTTCCAGATTTCGAGAACATCGAGTCCTCGGGTGTCCGTCTCCTCAACGAAATGATTCATGTTCTCAATGAGAAGAATGTGGAAGTTCAGAGCCTCCTTGTCCTCGGGATCTCCTCCACCGCTCGTGACACCCACTGCCGGGTTCTCGCGAGCAATGACGAGAAGAGAGTCGAACATGGACTTGAGCATTCGGTCGTACTCTCGGTCCACTGTCCGCCGGATAGGGAGATTGGGGTCAATCCCAACCAGCATATTCTCAACCACTGTAGAGAAAGCAGGGAACACGCGAATGAAATGAATAACTCCCTTGCGCTTGTGGATCTTGACCTTTGTCTCTTCAATGGCCCGGATTTGATCATCCACAAATTTCCTGAACCGACCACCAAGCAGACCGTGCTGTTTTTGGAAAATTGTGTTGATAAAGTCTTGGTTCGTTTGGCTAATATCTGCCATCTTCTTCTCAACCGCCACAAACATGCCCACTCCTTGTCTGTCAAATTGTCAGTCGATGTGGTTCAGAATTACGGATAAAGGGGAAAGACTTACAAAGGATCCTGCGATATGACCCACTCCATCAGCTTTTGCAGATCATGGTCCAAGAATGAGAAAATGGTCTCCATGGACCGTGTGACACGCCTAGCGAGATCACGGTCAGGCTCCATGATACGATGTTTCTTGAGATCACCACCACGACGATCCTGGGGCATGCTAGAAGCAACCGCGTCTGGGAAGTCTGTCTGCTCGAGCGTCGTAGCATGGAAGAAATCGATGATGAAGTTTTGTTCCATTTCAACCAGAGGGAGCAACTCGTCCAAAACAGTACTGAATACTTCCCATGGGAGGGTCCCGGACCCTGCCTTTTGGCGATCAGCCTTACCCTCGGAGAGGGGAGATCGCAGAGCACGGGCGAGCGTCTGACTTCGCTTCACTGTCATCTTTCTAGCCGCTGTCGCCACGTTCTCCTGCTGCTTTTCTATTTGAGTGGTGAAAAGCCATACTTGTTCCTCACTCGTCATCTTGCGGGCGTTCTTGCGGCAGCTCATCATGATACCCTGGAATTCGTTTTTATACACAGGATGGCTCTTCTCTTGATAGATGCCAAGCATGTGGCTCCAGCTTTTCAAATCGACGTCTCGGGCATAGAGCATCAAGGGGCTATACTTCCACAGGACGTCTCGACCACTTTCGTGGTGGCTCGAGTCACCTCTCTTTGCTAGAGCTCCACTGAGAGCATGTTTCGTCTCTGCAAGTGCCAGTTCGAACTGTTGTGGCATGAAGCCGATGAGGTGCTGCATGAACTGCGAGCTCTCTTGCACGTACATTTCCTTCTTTTCTTGAACAATCCTCATGTTCCCATAGTCACTATCAAGTCCCAAGGCTTGGTCATCGACTGAGGAATCCCCAGCCTTTCCGGGATCGCGCCCTCCGAGGCTGGGATCAATCTTGATCATAGCCTTGAAGAGGACAACTAAGGAATTTTCAACTTCAGAAAGGCCTTGGATATTGTCTAGGGGTGCCGTGCGAAGCACTTGTAGATCAGTGCTCGTGATTGCACACGTCTCAAGAAGAGACTCGAGTTCCTGTTTCAGCAGCTTTTGGTTTGCAGCTTGGACTTGAAGACCTTGGCCTTGTGCTTCAATATAGGCAATATCTTCGGATAACGTCTGCGACAAGTTAGAAAATTCCAATACAGAGAGACCATTGCATACTCACCGAAAGCTCAACGGAATACAATGTTAGAAGGTTGTCCAGCTCCTCGCATTCCAGGATGGCGACATCAATGCCCAACTTGATAGCGTCTACCTTGTCATCTTCTTCTTGGAAGCGCGCCAACCAACCACCAGCCTGCGTCTTGTTCAACTCTCGTTCGAGATCGGCCCTCATGTCATCGACATTCCCGGACTGCATTTGTTCACCAGGAATCCAGCCAAAATGGTCAAGCCATCTACCAAATCCTTCGCTTCTGTTATCGAGAATGCGGTGGTCAACACCGAGACTCTGCAAATATTCTGTATCCTTCCCTACAGCTCGGACTGGCCGGGCCGGCTCCTTGGGGAAAGACTCGGGAGCTTCTTTGATAAGAGATGACGCGCCTTGGCCACTCAATGGGCGATTGATGGTTGGCACCGCAACCTTGACGTCGGGAATGTTGGAGCGACGCTGAGGAGCACGCGCCGGAACATCTGGAGTTGGAGGGGCAGAGTCTTCCTTGGGTGTGTCTGGCTTAGGGGGTGCTGGAACCACGTCCGTGATCCCGTCTGGGCCGTCGGTAACTTTCTGGGCAGCCAGTCGTAGTCGCTCTCCGGCACCTCCTCGACGAGGTTTAAATGCTGCTGCCGCCGCTGCCGCCTTCCAGAATGCTCCCGCAACCTGCTCCTTCGTCTTCGGAGACTTGATCATAGGCCCAAGACCAGGTCTCTCCTCCTCCTCTGCCTTGCTTTCATCCTTGGCGATAGTTTCATCGTCCTTGGCCGATGTTGCTTCCTGAGTTCCCGACGTTGGTGCTGCCGCTGATGCGGGTGACACCTTGGATGGCTGCTCAATATCAGTTTGTAACGACAGTCCGTCTTTGCCCGTTACTGGCAAGGGTATGCTAACAACCGGAGGAATCGGGAGACTGTTCAGTCCACCCGCATTAGAATCCGATTTGGGAACCTCGGGACTTTGTATAGGACTTTGTATAGGTACGGCGGGAGTAGGATCTGCTCCCATAGCGGGGCTAAGGGCGGCAGGATGGTTGGGGCCTTGACTGGTAGAGTTCTTGCGTCCGGATCGCTCTGCACTTCGTGGTGGCGGGATGACGGGATCCTTCTTGCCAGGGCCGCCAGTGCCAGGAATAAGAGGTGCCGGCACCAAGTCTCTATCTTGTGGCCGTGTTGGGTCCATGGGAGGACGCTTCCTCTCAGGGGGTGTTTGATCTCCCAGTCCTCGACTTGGCGAGGAAATGTTCTGGGCAGCTTGCTCATCTCGGGCAGCTCTGCTCGGTGGTCGCATGAGCGGAGGTGGCATGGGGGGTGTCTGGTCGTCTCTCGAACGACTAGCTGGTCTAGGCGAAGTTTGACCATCCCTCGCTCTACTGGGCGGTCGCAGCGGAGGCGTCGAGCTTTGATATGCCTGATCCTCCCTCGGCCGACTCCCCGGCCGGCTTGGTGGGCGAAATTGGTCATCACCGCCGCGTCCCACTGGTGGTGTAAAGGAAGTAGGAGGGTGCGACGGTTGCCCATCCCTCGGACGACTTGAAGACCGAAATTGGCCTTGCTCCTCTCTTGCTCGGCTGGGCGGCCGGCCATGTTGGTTCGGTATCTGTGGCAGTGGTTGGGTCGGCGGTTCAGCTTGAGGACCCGGTGGACCATTTCGAACCGCCATCGACATGGACTCTTGACTCTTGCTATTCTGGACCACTTTTCGCAGGTTGGTCCTATCCCGGTCTCTCGAGGCCGACGAATCGAAGCTGCCAGCAGGGGAATTGGTGCCACTGGGCGGTAGCTGTCGGATTGGAGGGGTTCTAGTCGTTCTAGGCGGGCCATCGTGAGCGCCAGGCATATGCGGTGGGAAGTTGGGGTGGCCGGGCATTGATGGCGGAGAAGCCATGCCCGGTGGTGGTGGCATCGCAGACCCTGGTGGTGGCCTCATTGGCGGTGGTCCATTGTGATAGTGGCCGCCGGTGTTGGGAGGCCGCTTGCCCGCTCCCATGACTTGCTCCAGCTCTCTGGGGTCGAAACCCAAGAGCTCGGGAACCAAACCTCCCGTATATTTGCCATAGATCTTGATCATACTGGCGATGAAGAACTTCTTCTCTTTATCCGACTGCGCCATCCAAAAATAAGGCTTCACCAAGGTGACTATGAACCCGTTATCGCCAGCCCATTCTCGGTGCTGAGGGTTGGCTTGCGGGCTGGTAAAGGACTCGATGTGCGTGAGGTCGTCCAAGTTCCAGGTCTTGCCAATGGAGAAGGTTCCGTTCGGGTTTTCTTTGGACTTGTGCATGCGGACGCGGCCTGATTTCCGGACTGCGATGATGATGGCTCGGGGTTTTTGGGATTCGGGAGTTCGAGCTTGCGGAGGGGGCGGCGTCGCAGGATGCGTCGAGAATTCGGTGATGCGAAGGTGGGTGATGTACGTCTCCTGGACTGGCTTAGATATTAGCTTCATAGACGAGAAACAGAGCTGGCACAGAGCTCCCGGAGTTGGCCAGCCGAAACTCGACGGTCAAGACGTACGCGTCCCATCCGGCTCCCTCTTGCTAAAGCAACTCTCGATGATGCGACGCTTCTCATCTTCGAACTTCTCCCTGGTGCCTGGGGTGGCAGGACCAAAGCCGTTCCCGTTTGTGCGCTCCATTTGCGTGGCGTGGGCCGTTCATTAAGGAGAGGACGAGTGGGTTATGAACGGCCTTGGGGGCATTGTGCGCAAGCACAGATGGTCTCCGCGTTGATTCGTGCCGTTACTGCTTGGAGATCGCTCGGGCGAGGTGGAAGGAATCCCACAGCCCGTTCATAGCTTGGGGAGACGTGGAGAGGTTGGCAATCTGGCCAAGCCTCCTGTGGCGTAGCATCCTCCTAATTAGAGCATCCTGGCCAGTAGCCACAGTGGGACTGGCAGCTCCCGTCAACGTCAGCGCGAGCATTTGGCTTCAATGTGGCGTCACGGGCTGTCTCAGCGGGGTCCAGCCGTTAATAGTTCAGGCGATCGCCCCTGTAGAATGAGCTAACAGCAGTGTGAAGAAACCCAACCCAGCGCTGAAACGAATTGAAGTCATTGAGCTACCAGGCAAGTGGGTGACATTGGAGAAAAAACACACCGAAGCACTCCCTAAATACATGCTTGATCTTTTATCTTTTATAGCTAGCTATAGAATTATTAATATTCTTTAATCTCTATTTAGAATAGGCAGCTTATTTAGATATTTAGATATTTATTCGGGTGTTTATTTAGGTGATTATTTGGGTCTTTATTTGGGTGTGCCATTTCCAATATCACCCACTCGCCAGGTCGTTTCACTCGTGCAACGCAGAGTACCCCAACTAATAGGGGCTAGCAAAGGAGCGCTCCTAGACGCAGAAGTTTAGCTGCGTGAATCTAAAGTAGCAGCCAATCATCTCTCCTTTGAGGTTACACAAGACGCCCTCGAGCTTCCGCCGATTGTACTCTCGAGGATTTTTTTGTACAATCGGAGCACTCATTGTACCCAAGCACAAACGATGTGCAGGCAGTATTTGTGAGGGCGAACCAGTTATGTTTTCTATATAAAATAACCTTGCTCTCGAAGTAGGTAAACATATGTGCTTTCATGCTACAACCTCATGCAAAGACTATGTATCCAATAGTTCTAATGCTTCAGCGCACTCTCAAACAGTTTTCTAAGCTGGTCTTTCTCGGCCTCCAACTCCTTGGACAAGCCAGGTGCCAGCATCAGAACTCGCGCTTGGGGGATCGTTCCCTCTACGAGAGATTCGATGTCGCCCGATCCAAAACCGAGATCTGACAGTCCACTAGGCTGGTCGCCGAGCTCAGCGAGGAACTTGGTGATGGCTTCTGCCAAGACCTCGCCGGCGCTCTCACGCTTGACGTTTGAAATATCCACCCCAAAAGCCTCGGCAGCAGCCAGGTGGCGGTCAGGATTAGAAGCAGCCGTGAATCGGAACACAGCCGGGGCCGATACCGCGACAGACACACCGTGGGGGATCAGCGGGCTAGGAACATCGTATCCTGCATGACTGTATCCCGGGTTCTGTCCAGAAATGGGGTAAGACATGCCTACGTAGTCAGTCAGTCTCGTTGCTTGCTTCAAAAAAAACAGATTGCGCTATGGAAATTCCTTACCATGGCAAAGGTGAACTCCCGCATTTCCAAATCCAACACCGGCGAGAGTTGCGGCAAGAAGCATCTCGCTCTGGGCTTCGAAATCATCGGGATCACGGACAGCGCGTGGGAGATATTTGATAGTAGCCTTGAGGGCGTGAAACGAGAACACGTCCGAGATGGGGTTTGCACCTTGGTAGGCGGGACGGTTGAGAGGGTTTGTCGGTCTAGGTGTCCGCTCGTAGTAGGGGATCGCCGTCCATGATTCTAAAGAGTGGCACAAGACATCAAGGCCAGAGGCTGCCTTGACGGCCGAGGGCATGGTTCTGGTATTGAGAGGATCACAGATACCAAGCGTCGGTTTCAAGTTCCTATGCGCAACGCCCGTCTTTGCTTTCTTCGATACTAAATCAAAGATTGCTGTGCCGGTCGTCTCACTGCCTGTTCCTGCTGTAGTCGGGACTGCAATGAGTGGCAGTAATTTCCTGTCAATCGGGCGCCCCTTTCCCAGGGGAGCGTTCACGAAGTCGAGGAAATCTGCCTCCGGATATGCGTTGTAAAGATTCATAAGTTTGGCTGTGTCCATGACGGAACCGCCACCAACTGCCAAAAAGGCATCCGGTTGGTACGGCCGGGTCCATGCGATGGCCTCCTTGATGCTATGTGGCAAGATTTATTAGCCCACGTTCATAGCCGACTGAATCAGAAATCATATACTTACGAGCTATCCTTTGGTTCAACTCGGACATTTTTGAAAACCTCGAATTCGATTCCTTCTCTTGTGAGACCTTCTCGGACCTGCTTCATGGCGTCCAGCTTATCCACAGTAGAGTCTGTGACCACAGCAACCTTCTTAGCACCTAGATTCTTGAAATCCATACCCACCTCCTTGGTGACGCCAGGGCCAAAGCGAATTGATGAAGCCGCCATCTCAAAGGCATACTCTTTTTGCTCTGCTACCGCCGGTGAGGCGAAGCGGCGTCCTTGTGATTGCACATGAGAGAGGAGGTTTGATGATGGGTTTTGCTGATGATATCCGGGATTTGAGTGGCATGGGCATGAGGGAGGGTGTGTATATTGAATTGTGCGGAGGAGGCTGGTTGCCCGCTTGGCGGCCTGGAAGAAGGTGAGTTTCCATTCCCTCAATTGAGGAGCTCAGCGGCACTTACATTAGGCACAGCCCTAATTGGTGATACCATTATGTAGAATTTCGATACGGCAAATATTCGAGAGATGTTTTATATCTGGCCTGAGCAATGGGGTACTAGAGCAGGAGAAGAACGTGTGGTTCTGTAGCCACATATAAAGAAAGACAACGGAATGGATGATGTGATGAGATCCGACAACGGATTTTGGTGGACCTGACAACGACCTCGGATACCAACCTAAACATCGACTAGAGAGGAGGAGCCCAGTTCTTAAACTACCTAGCTCGATTAGTCTGCGGGGAAGGGTGGTATCCATCTCTTTCTGCCAGATCGGATCCGACAGTGTCCAATCCACATCGTTGCGTGGTTGATGGATCTGGCATCATGCAGTTACAGGCGGGAGTGGTCGTGTGATGGCTATACTAGCGATCTTGATCAACATGGGAGCCCATGATTCATAACTGGCTACTCTCAACATTGACGTACGTAACAGAAAATAATTGCCCATGGGGAACGCTAACATGGTTAATTAGTCCCTAGGTAGCATGGATTCTCGATGCCAGATAGCACTAACACCGGGTTTACCAGCACTACAGCCTTCACCCGCTATACCCGTATTACCCGATCCAAGCATCTCCAGAAGACAGATGATAGAAACTCGTTCAGTTTTCAAAATTCCTCAAGTCATGAGTCTATCGGAAATCCGGAAAGTGAATATCGGATCCGATGCTATCTCAAGGGCTCCAAAGTCGTGAAATGAACGGATAGCACCTTTACATAGGTAGGTACGTTCTCTGTAGGTGGCTTACCCGAACGGGATATTTGGGAAGATAAAGGCGAATCAGAACACAGCAATGGTGTAACCAACGATCGATCATTATCACACGGTATTATATGTCACTTCTAATTTGGCAGCCTAGCTATGCAGATATATCTTTTATTCATTTTGCAGGAACAGAAAATACGAGCATCTCCACTCAGTCGATGTCCAGCCGCTTCTGGATAATTTCCTTAACCTGTGATATATCCAAAGCTTCTACGCTTCGAGCTTTTTGACCTATCATACTCTCGGCCATGAACATGGAGTTGTAAATAGCCTCCTCCGTTGCGTCTGCGACAGCCTCGAATAGGCCGGTGATGGTATCGTTATCTGACATTTCGACTGCCTGTGCGCTTGGCGTATATGGATTGACAGGTTTTGGTGCGGCCGGACTCATGCTTATCTCTGGGAACGGAATATGGGCTGCCGTTGAAAAGGCAAGAAAGATGTCTCCGGATGTATTGGCTCCGTACCCGCCAACCTTGCCCAATCCCACCGTGGCACGCTTTGCAAGACGCTGAAGCTGGACTGGCAGAAGAGGCGCATCCGTGGCAACAATGATAATGATGCTGCCATCTTTCCGTGGCCCACCGTGCGTCTCCTCAGTGGTATTAGCTGGCGCTGCGTTTTGAGCTGCGTTTTGAGCTTTGATAATTTTTCCCACAGGGATGCCGCCAATATGCAGGTTTTCTGCCGAGCCGTAGTTGGCCTGGACTAGAACCCCAACTGTGTACGTCGTTGGGTTTCCGGAGACATCAAACCCTTCGACGAAACGACTGCTGGAGCCCGTCCCGCCCTTGGATCTGTGACAAATCATTCCTGTCCCGCCACCCGTGTTTCCTTCAGGTACACGATCTGCGGTTGCCTTCTCTATACCGCGAGTCACATGCTGTGGGGTGACGGCAAACCTGCTCGGGTCGTTCAAATACCCATCATATGTCTCTGCGACGGTAGGGAAAAGGAACAGGCCCATATCCCCATCGTCATTACGGTAGTGTTGATAGCAATACTCGAGGATGCCACGATAGGCATCACCAACAGAACCTGTTCCCGTTAAGACAATAGGTGAAGTCAAAAGGCCAGTCTCGTTGATCCAGTGCGTTCCCGTCATTTCACCGCAGCCATTGAAACTGAAGACACCAGCAAAGCAGGCATATTTGGCCCAGTCTTTCCGGAATAGTATTGTCGTCAGTCCAGTATTGACGCTTTGGTCCGTCTGGACGGATTCCGTGTGAACAAGGACACCGGGCACATCGGTCAAGGAATTGAGCTTGCCAGCTGGCCATTTTCCCAGGTCAAGGCCGGGAAAGACCTCGCGGACACGGACCCTTGGTGTTTGAATGGGGTGAGAGGACATGATATAATTGTGAAATGTACAATATTTGATAGTGACAGTTATGATGCGATGCGCATTCTAATCGAGTTGGCGTGCAGTATATATACTCTGCAGGGAATCGTACCCAGATTCGGATCTCGGGTTTCGGGTTTGAATCGTCCGGAACACCAGGCTCACTCCACCCTACGTGGACGTGAACAGTTCCTCAACCGATCACCAATAGGTCCGTTAATAATATCATTTGGCTTCTGCATAGGTTTTGTCGACACGATCCATAAGGGAGGGGTTGGCAAAATATGACGTGGGCTTTGGACAAGGTTACACAATCGCTCTCACACTGCCAGCTTAAGGAGTCTTGTTCAAAGTTGCAACAACTAAAATGTGGATAAAAGTGAACAGCCCAAAGAATCCAGGAACTGCCTAAGGAACGGATCTCCGCATTTATTTTCTCCTGGGAAACCGATAGGAAGCCTGCTGCTTTGTTGCTGAGCACCTTGATCCACGTCGCGAGCCTCGCTATCTGATGGTATCTTTCTGTGTGATTCGAGATCAACTATATTACCACCAATCTCGCCCATACTCAGAATCTCTGAGCTTTGTCTGCACTCTGAAAGAATCAGCTCGTAAAGAGAGCTAGGTGCCTGGGAGGAGAATGGCCAGCCTGCTGATCATCGCTTGAATTTGCCATTTGCATTGAGCCAGGACGAATCGAGCACAAGTGCACTGAGAAGGCTTTGGCATGGTTTGTATCATGCTAGCCACGCACAGCAGGAGGCCCCAGGGGGCTTTTACGAGCCTGCGGATGTGTCGCCTGGTGTTGAGGCTGAAGTGTGATTGAGAACATGCCAAGGACCGAGAGACAGCTCAAACTGTCCAGGGCTCTCAAACATCTCATTCATCGGAATCTATCCGGTTCACTCCGTATCATCTTCCTCGTAACATTAATTTGCTTGAGTAGGCCGACTTTTCTCACGTCGATGACGCGTCGTCGGTCAGTGCGGCGTTGTCCGTTGGAAAATACAACAGTGTTGTCAGGCAAAACTTCTCCAGGGCGGACTACAGACTTGGGAGAAATCGTGCAGTTCTAGATTCCAGTCAGATGCCGTGTCACACAGAAGGCCGAGTTCAATACGCACCTTGCCAACTTTAGCACCACGTCCAATCGTACTTCCGACTTGGATGAACGTGCCCTCAGATATCTCCGTCCCTCCAGGCTCTACAGTTGCACCGGCCTCCACTATAACATAATCGCCGAGGGTGATTCCTCCCGTTGACGAGAGAGATGAGCGGTCGCCCGGTTGCGCGCCGAGCTGTGCACGCTCCTGGATAACGCATCGGCGCCCAATCAAGACGCTACCTTGTGTTGAGTCGATACGGGCACGGGGATGGATAACAGTTTCGGCTTGGATCGTAATCGAGTGGTGGCCAGTGAGCGATGCATCCTTTGGAATCGTGAGCGAAGACGAGAAGTTGACTGGAGGCTTGGGACCGCCGGAAGGAGCAACTGACTGCCGCTTGCTTGAGGACGACATTTAAGTAAAAGAATTGTTCAAGCTTTTATAGTATGGGGAAAATCAATGCGGCCTATAAAGGGCCATTAATAAGAATTTCGAACCAGTGCTCGTGTACTGAACACCTGATGCATGTTACAGAGAGCTTCATCTAGCTCCGGTGTTAGCGCCCTTGGAATCTTCCCAATCAGAGTCGTAGAAGATCATGAGGTCAGGGACATTGGGAGACTCGGCTGCCAGATTGTCTGCTAACAAGTACATCCATTCACTGATAAAATTGCGTGGAGACGATGTAGCGGCTAACTAAGTTGATGAGTAATGGAGGCTTGGATTGGCCAATCATGCGTTCGCCATTTCTTTGCATCCACCAACTTGTGGTCAACTCGAAGTGCCGCATTATCACGACCTCTCCGTGCATCCCCATTGTATCGCCACCACAAGACGACACGATGCTTTCGAAGAGAGCGACGCCTGCGAGGGCCGCTAACCTCTCACGGACTGCTGTGAGGGGTCTGGCCACCGTCCAAGATGCCAATCCTGTTCGGCATTACGGAGGTCTCAAGGACCAAGATCGCATTTTCCAGAACCTCTACGGACGATTTCCCGCCGACCTTGCAAGCGCGAAGAAGATGGGAGATTGGCACAAGACGAAGGAGATCATTTTGAAGGGACACGACTGGATCATCAACGAAGTCAAGACTTCCGGTCTCCGAGGACGAGGTGGAGCTGGCTTCCCTTCAGGTCTGAAATGGGTAGGTTTTTGGACGAGTGCAGCTGGCCGGCAAGTACGCAATTATACTAATTGTACTCCTCACAGTCTTTCATGAACTTCAAGGACTGGGACAAGGACAACAAGCCCCGATATCTCGTCGTCAATGCTGATGAGGGTGAACCGGGAACGTGCAAGGACCGAGAGATTATGCGAAAGGACCCCCACAAGCTTGTCGAGGGCTGCCTCGTTGCTGGCCGAGCCATGAACGCCACCGCCGCCTACATCTACATCCGAGGCGAGTTCTACCATGAGGCTGCAATCCTCCAGAATGCCATCAATGAGGCCTACAAGGCCGGCCTGATTGGCAAGAACGCCTGCGACTCCGGTTACGATTTCGACGTCTACATCCATCGTGGTGCCGGTGCCTACGTGTGCGGCGAGGAAACCTCCCTGATCGAGTCCATCGAGGGCAAGCCTGGCAAGCCCCGTCTCAAGCCCCCCTTCCCTGCTGCTGTCGGTGTCTTCGGATGCCCCTCTACCGTCGCCAACGTCGAGACAATTGCCGTGGCTCCCACCATCTGCCGCCGAGGAGGCAGTTGGTTTGCCGGCTTCGGACGTGAGCGAAACCAGGGTACCAAGCTCTTCTGTATCTCTGGCCAGGTCAACAACCCCGTCACCGTCGAGGAGGAGATGTCCATCCCTCTCCGTGAGCTGATTGAGAAGCACTGCGGCGGCGTCCGTGGCGGTTGGGATAACCTCCAGGCCATCATTCCCGGTGGCTCGTCAACGCCCATCCTTCCCAAGCACGTGTGCGACGACCAGCTCATGGACTTCGACGCCCTGAAGGACAGCCAGTCCGGTCTTGGTACTGCCGCCGTCATCGTCATGGACAAGAGCGCTGATGTCGTTCGCGCCATCAGCCGGCTGAGCCACTTCTACCGCCACGAGAGTTGCGGTCAGTGCACACCTTGCCGTGAGGGCAGCAAGTGGACTGAGCAAATCATGCAACGATTCGAGAAGGGTGAGGGTCGTGAGAGGGAAATCGACATGCTCCAGGAGCTTACCAAGCAGGTTGAGGGACACACCATCTGTGGTACGTATTCTCCCCATTATATTCTACCGCTCATCTATATACTGACTTTGATGTTCCTGCAGCTCTGGGAGAGGCTTTCGCTTGGCCCATCCAGGGTCTCATCCGCCACTTCCGACCTGAGCTCGAGGCGAGGATGCAGAAGTACGCGCTGGAGAATGGTGGTGCTGCACTGGCTGGTGGATGGCACCCCTCGACCAGGCAGCAGGGCAAGCTGGTCGCCCCTGGTCAGTAAAACATGGTCGGGAGCTCATCGTGAGGGTTTCATTTAGTCTAGAGGGGACGCGGCGGCCGTAATTTCATGAGCCCGCGTCTGTGTACCTATGCATAGTCAACCGTAAATGACGGTGGTGTATTCGTTTTGTTAAAATCAGTCTTCAGCCATCCTACATGTCATCTTCGTGCCCGTGTGTGATGAAACGGTGCCTGAGTGACGGGAGAAAACCCAGTCAACAGCTCCCATCCACTCCAGCCTATCATTGTGTGATCTGGCTCCGGTCTGGTGAATCCGGAAGGCAGGTAACTGCGAGTGTGCTGGCGGCCTGCTAGTGATGGGTTTTATTAATCGGGCCCACAGCCCAACCCGATGGTCGGATGGAAGAAATGCTTCGTTTCATCAAGGGCTCGCTCCTTACAACCCCAAGGCATTGGGCAAGAGTATTTTCCTCTTGCAGATTTGGCTCGGTCTTGGTCAATATCGTCTTTTGGATCTGATTTTTGGTTTTCCGGGTTGATATATCTGTCCGTTCAGAAGGTGGGCCTCGCTCATCCTCACCGCATATCCCATCATCATGGTCAGCTCCTACGAGCATTTCGTCGCCTTCGGCGTTGATAATGGTACGTTTTGACATACACTATATTATGAATCTATGGACGGGCATGGCTCTCGTTCGGCTTGACTCAAATGCCGGGTGAATCTATGATCCAATGGAACAACAATCGCTCCCTATGTATCTTCTAAGTTAAGGCCTCAATGCACTCGCTTATATTTCCCAGGCGGCCTTGAGAGGCTCCTCCGCCTCTTCCAGTCATTTTTCATGATCCTGACGTCTTACCCCGTCCTGATCGCCCAGCTCATGCCCACCCGCCCGGTCTCGGTCCACATGGCCACCGAGACCTGCCTCAAGCAGCTGCAGGGAACCCTCAACGTCACCCGCCGCACGTTCCGCCTGTTCCGCTTCCTCGAGACGTTCAACGCCTCCTACGCCCTCTACCTGACTGAGACCAAGACCATCGAGACGTGGCTCGACGTCGCGAGCAAGTCGTCGCTGGCCACCTTCGGCATGCTCGAGTCCGTCACCCTGCCTGACCTGCTCGGTGTCGACCACCTGGAGTTCTTCGGCCCCGCCCAGACCATCAAGATCAACGTGGACGCCCAGATCTTCTGGTTCATCGGTCTCTACACCTCCGCCGTCAGCACGGCGATCAAGCTCGTGCGTATCCTGGCGTACTCTCCTGTCCCCCAGACTGGCGAGGGCTTTGGTACCGGCAAGGACAGCAAGGAGCAGTCAGAGAAGGAGGAGAGCAAGGAGGAGAAGGTTGAGAGCGAGAAGAAGCTGCTCAAGGAGGCTGCCGAGAAGCGCAAGGAGGAGCGCAAGGAGTGGGCCAAGAAGGTCAGCAAAGAGACGAGCCTCCTCGGTCAGAAGCTCCTCGCCGATGTTCTCGATCTCATCATTCCCGCTTCCGTCATGGGATGGGTCCAAGTCGACACTGGCGTTATCGGCATTGCAATGTTTACTACTTCCGTCCTGACGGGCTTGGATGCCTGGAGGAGGGTTGGACGAGACCTGGAGAGGCGCCAGGCTGCCTAGTGGTACGCAAGGTGATATCTGGAGAGCGTCGAGTTCTATTTTTCAAGCAAGTAAATTGTAGAATATCTAGATAGATGTTACGTCGTGGTATATCCCCGGAGCTTGTATATCCAACTCCACCCGCCTTTTAAATAGTCGCTATAGATCTTTATCGTAACTCATGTCCGTCATATATAGGCATTGAGCGTCGAGCAAGAACAAAAGAGAGTCGCTTTTTTTTTCTATTCCAGACCATTACTACCGTCTGCCAGTTATCACAAACCGGCCGGTCTCGATGCGCATCTTCCAGCCATCCTGGAAAAGAGCGGCAGCTACGCCTTGTCGAAGCCGCGATACTCCGCCAGCACTGTGACGTCCGATACCAGTAACAACCGTCAAGCTCTGTTCCCTGGCTTTTCTAACCCTGGATTCTCCGAGACCGTCCCACCAGGACTGCACTCTCTGACGAGCAATCCTGATACCGTCCAGCACAGTGACACCATGCAAGTCGATGGACGTCGCTGTGCTCTGCTTCTGGACCAGGAGCTCAGCGGCAGCAGATGAAAGCATGTGAGAATTCTGTGCCTGTTCGTACGAACGCTCCCGATAGACAGCGGCAGCCTGCTTATACAGAGAATTCGAGCCACCTTTACGGAGGAGCTGGGAAGTATATGCGTCAGTCGCCCGCTTGGCGTCCCAGGAGGCTTGTGCTTTCTGGTTCATCTCTGCAAAATTAACACCAGTCGATAATGAAGATCCGGCCAACGGCTGCATGGGTGTCTTGAGCTCTAGCGTTCTGGCATTCCCAGCCGCCGGTGGCGCAGTACCCTCAATTTCATTGCTTGGCAAGGGTGTGAGGCGGTAGTCCAAGTCGATGCGCTGGACCCATGGATTCTTCACAAAGTACTTGCTCAGCATGCCGGCAATGTCGTCAGAGAATTGTGAAATGGAGCTGGTCACCTGGACCAGGGCGAGCAGGTAGTGATCTGGGATGTTGCGGTACTTGGAAGCCAGCGACTTTGCCTGGGCTTTGCCCTCAGCATCCCGAGCCTGAATTCCGTATGAAACGAACTGGTCGAGAATGTCCATTACGGTTGCGCCACTGGAGCACCGTTTCCTGTAGAAGATATCAGAGACTTGATCATACGACATGTCGATTCTATCGGCAATGAACGCAATCTCTTCCTCATCTACAATGGTACAGTGTCAGTAAGAAAAATCAAGAAAAAAGCGGCTGTGAAATGGGAATCGAGCTAACGTTTAATATTCTTCGCTCGGACAACCTGTCCGCTTGGGGGAGAAAATGATGTATCACCCTGGATGCTGTTGGCCCGTTTCTTGGCTTTTCTCTGTTTTTTTTTGCTCTTGGTATTGGTGCTGGTATCAACGTCATCAGGTTGAAAGAAGCCGTCGATCCCCTTTTCTCGTTGTCCCGTCGCCTCGAGAAACTGAATATTGAGCAAGATATCCAGGGCGATCTGGAGGTCACCGTTGGCCTTCTTCATAGCACTCTTGATATCGATTTCCTTCAACTCCGTGAACATGCCCCGCAGGTTGCTCAACTTGGTCTCATCGCTGTCATTGCTGAATTTAATGAGACTAGGCATCGCGGAGGATTGTTCTGCTGAGGAGGAAGATATTTCAGTGCCTTCAGAGGCTGAGCCCAGAGACTTGGGGACACAGTTGCTGGTACTCGTGACGGTGGCACTTGTACTCTTATCATCGTCAGGGTCGAAATTGACGTTCTGGGGAAGATTAGAGACGCCTGTCGCGTTGAAGCCTGTCGCTTCCTCAAAGACAGCCGACTGGGAGAGCCCGCTAAGGATCTCCTTGGCTGTTTGGTAGCCTTCGGACGAAGTTAAGTCATGATCAGTTGCAATTGCGACAATCAAGGGTTCATCCAAGAGGGATCTGAATGAGTCCTGCCAGTGCACATGAAATATCAGTATATAAATAATTTGACGAGTATTTCCCACGTCGCATATCATCTCGGGCTCCTCTCATCCATTTGAATCCCACGGTGTTTTACTAGGGAGGGCTTCAAGCATCGCTCGGGCCTCTGTCTCGTTTGAGACAATATGCCAAGCCGGGGAACGCTTTCTTCACTCACCACTAGACTCTGCATAGGATCTTGGTCACTTCCAGACGGCATGGTGTGAGCCAGTCCGCCAGCCGGCAAGAGGACGTGGGGAGTCGGATAAAAGCGTAGTGTAAGGTCTTGTGTTGGTTGAAGATCTCTTCAAATACAGCATGATCTAAGATGGGGCTGAAGCGATTTATATGTATGGCAATCGAAAGAGAAATATGACAGAAAACGCTGGTCTTTCCAGAAAAAAAAATATTATCCAACGCGTGAATGTTGATGGTCTGTTCAGGCAATTTCTGATGCCAGTAACCGATGACTCTCACATTGAATGACGGCAACTTAGGCCGGTCCAGGCCCCGATATCAAACAGCTCAGCCTGGCTCCGCCTGAATGTTAGGTCACGTGGGTATACTCTTTAGACAATAATGAAGTAAAAAAACCGTCGTCTCTCATCAGGTCTCACATAGTATGTACGATCCTGAAATACACAGGAATTGTACCTGAATTATTGATCGAGCATCTTCTCGAACGGCAGAAAGGGTGTCCTAAACTTTACTCGCTCAACTCTGAGCTGCCTGAACTGTGTTTGTTTGTCTCACACGAGACTCTCACGCGTGACCAACTCAAGTGCGACCGGGACCGCAGGAACCCGGTATATTTGCCGGGGGGACGGGCTGGCAACTCAGCCCCGTTCCACGAACATGAGGACGAGCAGAAAGGCAAACATTAGGCTTCAGTACAGACTCCATCGCCACCAGGCAGATACTATAAGGGTCATGCATTCATCCACGGGCGGAAAGAAGGTTCGGACAGGGCGGTACAGGTACAGGACTAATGCAGCCCCGGAAATCAAGGTTGGTGACGCTGTGCTGCAGACCCAATAAAGCAACACTTTACTCGATATATTCTCCAGCTACATAGGTATCTTATTATTCATGTATTAGCCAATGGGAAATACGACGAAAATTAGAATAGTTTATGCGTCGAATAGTTCACAGACACACATGTCGCATCTTAAATTGATGAGGCAGCCCGCCGCCATGTGTCATGCTGGTAGCGGTACTTGTACAGCCCCCCTGTCGAGTAGGTACGTAATGAAGGTACCTGGGTACCTACATGTCTAGCGCGCTGCGTTATCGATGACATGATGAGCTTCCCCATCCACCGCTAACACACTTGCTCCGACTTCTATCTAGCCGTATTTATACTCGAGCTGCCCTGCCATCAGCCGTCGATGCAGAGCTCCTATAGCCCCCGCGACCGTCCTTCAATGCAGCGCCCTTCGACTTAGAAGAAGCATCGCGAGTGCGCTCTACATCCATCTATCCCGCCCGGTCACCGGCCGACCATCCGGCCACCCACTTCGGCAATGCGTCATCGAGTCGCAAACACCCTTCTTACGACCTTGGCGCTGCTCACGGCATCTGTGAGCGGCGCCCAGAAATTAACGCCCGTACACGAGCCGGGTCGGTGCGCCTTCCGCGGCCACTGTGGGAAGCAGAGCTTTTTTGGCAAGGAGCTGCCCTGCGTCGATAACGGCCTGGCCAAGGATCCCGATGAGGAGTTTCGGAAGGAGCTTGTTGAGCTCTGCGGCGAGAAATGGAGCACCGGACCTGTGTGCTGCGAGCTGGATCAGGTATGGATTTGAGCGCCTCTTGTAGAGGTAGATACACCAATGAGTATCTTTCAACTGACTATTTCTCAGGTTCGAGCTCTCAAGTCTGAGCTGGGTACGCCCAACACGCTGATCGGATCCTGCCCGGCGTGCAAGGAGAACTTCTTCAACATGTTCTGCACGTTCACTTGCTCCCCCGACCAGTCTACATTTATCAACATTACCGATTCCGCTGCCAAAAACGGCAAGCAACTCGTGACCGAGCTCGACCAACTGATATCACAAGAGTATGGGACTGGCTTCTACGACAGTTGTAAGGAAGTCAAGTTTGGTGGCTCTGGAAGCAAGGCAATGGATCTGATCGGAGGAGGAGCCACCAACTATCATGATATGTTGAAGTTCCTGGGAGATAAAAAGCCTCTCGTCGGTTCGCCCTTCCAGATCAACTTTCCAGCCAACTATACCGAGCCAGACATGAGCCCCAAGGATATGAAACCCAAGAAATGCAATGACGAGGATCCAGCCTATCGTTGTGTGTGTGTGGACTGTCCTGAGGTTTGTCCCGAGCTGCCCGCAGTCAAGGACAAGGGCACTTGCCACGTCGGCGTGCTGCCGTGCCTTTCCTTTGCGTCAATCTTGGTTTATTCGGTTCTATTGTTCGTATTTACCACCATGGTCTTTGGGCATATTGCCTGGAAGCGGTACTCGAAGCGCCGGGTGGAACGAACAAGGCTGCTACACGAATCGTCCCACAGTGACGATGAAGATGAAGGCGGGCCTGTGCTCACCGAAGCCATGCGCGATCGCCCGACGAAGCGTTATCGCATCAACGACATCTGCGACAAGGCCTTCTACCAGCTAGGACATGCTGCGGCCCGTTTCCCCGGTGTCACAATCAGCCTAAGTCTGGTTCTTGTTGCGCTGCTCAGCGCCGGGTGGTTCAGATTCGATTTGGAAAAGGATCCTGCACGCCTCTGGGTCAGCCCATCCTCTCCTGCAGCACAGGAAAAGGCGTACTTTGACCAGAACTTCGGCCCCTTCTACCGTGCCGAAAAGATCTTCCTTGTCAACGACACTCAGCCATCTGGACCTGGCCCTGTTCTTAGCTACGAGACTCTCAAATGGTGGATGGATGTCGAAAAGAGCATCCAAAGACTCGAAAGTCCCATATATGGCAAGTATCTTAGTGATATTTGTTTTACGCCCCTCGATGATGCTTGTGTGGTTCAATCCGTCTCCGCCTATTTCAACGCCAAGGGTGGCCTAAGCCCCAAGTACTGGGAGGATGATCTCCGACAGTGCTCCAAGTCTCCTGTCGAT